AGACAACCTACGATCAAAGACATTTTTCAGATAATGGGCACTGCAAACTCTGTACCGCAAAGTGATAAAACAGACCAAGGCAGGACTCCTAATTGGAACCATGGGATGGCCTCTCCGAGGGCGGAGAAAAGATACAGTGCTCACCAAGCAGTAAGGAAGGTGGGGCTGGATTGCAGGGGCAGCAGAGAGTTGGCGGATGCTGTCGGCTTATTCCTTCAACTGTGGGTCATGCATCCTCTCCCCCCCCTTCCCTGGCCGGACAGCTGCGAGGTTTTGGCACTGTTTGGGTATTTTTCCCCAGAATGGGATCGGCAGGTGCAGGCCAAAGAGAGTAAGGAGGTTTTGGCACTGTTTGGGTATTTTTCCCCAGAATGGGATCGGCAGGTGCAGGCCAAAGAGAGTAAGTTGGGAGGCCTGCTGGGAGGCTTGCAAATCCCTCCATGTTTTTGGAAGACAAATGACTCAGCAACTTTAGGTGAGTCAGCTCCATGCTGGGATAAGGGATTAGAATTGGAGTTTCACAACTACAGTGGACCAGTTTTAGGGCTTGAAAAACAGGTAAGTGATAGTACAAAGGAGTTTATCAGCCAACACAGCATGCTCACTTCTCAGACAGTCTTGGCCCTTTTTGACCAGTATGAAGAGGTGCGTTTAAAGTTGGACTCCGTGATCAATCTTTTTGCGGCAGAACAGGCAAAAAAGCCACAGGTAATATAGACTGGTTGCCAGACAGAAAGATCTGGTCAGATATCATCAATGAGTCAACTGAGGGATGGAGTAATCAGACAGCATTTTGACTGTAATTGTGGAAGAAAAAAAGATGGTGTACTGTTGGGGACCGAAATCCCACGGTAGGTGGGGGGGGGGGGAACAGGCAATTGTTGAAGGAGCAGATTGTATTGAGCATATATAATTCTATGATAAATGCAGGTAGATGGACTTCAAAAAGATGGATAGCGACCTCTCTGTTGCAGCTTACGCGGAGTGACAAGGGGGCAATAGATTTTGCACCATATGAATATTTTCCGCAATGTGATAATTATTCCAGAATTCTTCTTAAGTTCATACAACTCTTTCCAAGCCTGCTCATTCGAATGAGAGGATTCCTGACTTTCTTCCAAATTTTACCAACTCGAGTTTTTTCTAGTAGTGAAGCCAGCCCGCTGATCCAGAGAGTACCCAGGGAGAGCATTGCAGCACATGGAAAAGCTGACCTGAAAAGTAAACCAAATAGGGAAAGCAAGTC